AACATCAGCAAAGTGTTTGCTTAGAGATCTTACAATCAAGTTAATTACAGAAACATTGTGATTACACGCTAAAACATTGTTTACATCATGTGCTGTATAATACCTGCAATTTTGATCATTAAAGTGATGATTGTCATAGATACTAGATAAGAGGTTAAGGTCTGTGTCTATAATAGTTTGCATAAGAGAGCTGTTTTACAGAAAAGCCGAAAAAGACAATTATAAAAGGACTAGCTATGAAAAAAAGAATATATAAAACTATACACAAAAATGAGGTAGGTTGCTTAAAGGTACTTTAAGGTACACTGAAGGTGTTAATTTGTACTAATGATCAAAATTGCACAGGCAAAGCCAAGAGCACAATGGAGCAATGGTGGTGAGGCTAGGCAACCTGGGTTACAAGGGTGGTTGGGCTAGGCAACCTGGGTTACAAGGGTGGTTGGGCTAGGCAACCTGGGTTACAAGGGGTTGGGCTAGGCTGGTGAGGCAACCTGGGTTACAAGGGTGGTGAGGCTAGGCAACCTGGGTTACAAGGGTGGTTGGGCTAGGCAACCTGGGTTACAAGGGTGGTGAGGCAACCTGGGTTACAAGGGTAGGCAACCTGGGTTACAAGGGTGGTTGGGCTAGGCAACCTGGGTTACAAGGGTGGTGAGGCTAGGCAACCTGGGTTACAAGGGTGGTTGGGCTAGGCAACCTGGGTTACAAGGGTGGTTGGGCTAGGCAACCTGGGTTACAAGGGTGGTTGGGCTAGGCAACCTGGGTTACAAGGGTGGTTGGGCTAGGCAACCTGGGTTACAAGGGTGGTGAGGCTAGGCAACCTGGGTTACAAGGGTGGTTGGGCTAGGCAACCTGGGTTACAAGGGTGGTGAGGCTAGGCAACCTGGGTTACAAGGGTGGTTGGGCTAGGCAACCTGGGTTACAAGGGTGGTGAGGCTAGGCAACCTGGGTTACAAGGGTGGTGAGGCTAGGCAACCTGGGTTACAAGGGTGGTTGGGCTAGGCAACCTGGGTTACAAGGGTGGTTGGGCTAGGCAACCTGGGTTACAAGGGTTGGTTGGGCTAGGCAACCTGGGTTACAAGGGTTGGTTGGGCTAGGCAACCTGGGTTACAAGGGTGGTGAGGCTAGGCAACCTGGGTTACAAGGGTGGTTGGGCTAGGCAACCTGGGTTACAAGGGTTGGTTGGGCTAGGCAACCTGGGTTACAAGGGTGGTTGGGCTAGGCAACCTGGGTTACAAGGGTGGTTGGGCTAGGCAACCTGGGTTACAAGGGTGGTTGGGCTAGGCAACCTGGGTTACAAGGGTGGTTGGGCTAGGCAACCTGGGTTACAAGGGTGGTTGGGCTAGGCAACCTGGGTTACAAAGAGAAAGTAGAATAAAAATTCTAAAGTAATATAAACTTAATGGTAATTTAAGTAATAAAAACTTAATGGGAACTTAAGAGTAGTAAAAATGAACTAGAATAATTAATAACAATAGATGACCAATAAAAGTCAAAAAGCAATTAAGACATCTATAAAACAAATAGCTTACTTACTATAATATTATAAATACACTATAATTGAATACTAAAGTTACACTAAAACAAAATGAGGTAGATTAAATAGAGATACACTCAGGAACACTGGATGATAAAGTTCATACTAGAGGACACAGGTAAAGCCAGTGTAACAATGGAACATGGGAGTAAAAAAGAAAAAAGATAATAATAAAGATGACAATTTAAAAAAAAATGAAGTTAAAACCTTTTGAAAGGAAAGGCAGAGCTGTAGAACACATTGGTTTGTTAAATGAGATTATAATTTGAATTCTGGTTATTCATCAGCTATCCCACAGTTATTCAGGAAAGAATTGAGGTAAGCTTCAGTGGTTATAAAATAGGTTTTTCCAGTGTCAGTCCTCCTAGCCATAATTTTACCATCTAGCACAAAACAATGTTTAATTACTGGGGAATTTTTGCAGAAACCCCGCAGTTTAAGTAAGAGATTTTGTCTGAACCTGGTCAGACATTCATTCACATAAACAATGGATTTACAAGAGACGGCAGATTTGATAAGGTCTGACTTGCAGGAGCAGCTATCATGTTTAACAAAAAAATTTCCTGTAATTTATACCAGGTGATTTGATACCCACTCTTTAAGCTGATTTGATGTCACTAGTTTTGATTGAATACCATATCTTATCCTGCAGTTCATGGATAATGAAGACAGCACAGTCTTCTCCATCAGAATCTTGGGGAAAGTCACGTGAAGAAATAACGACAGAATCAAGGAGTTTATGTTGGTCTGATTCGTCTTGGGTAATAGTGTGTTCCTGTTGAAGGGTGTTAAGATGGTTTTCAAACTGTTGTAGCATTCCTTCTTGTTTTCTAGTTGTTTCTGCTGGTTTAAAGTCAGCAACTGTGGTCTTGAGAGAGTTTAATTCTTGTTGGAGGAGGTCGACTCTGGCAGACAGATCTTGATTAATCTTGAGCATTGCTGAAGCTTCACTTCGCATGCTAATTATTAAGTCCGATTGCACTTGGATTACTGATAGTTGGCCTTCATGTATTTGGGTTAATAACTTGAGCCATGGGTTATCAGCAAAGCGCTTGAAATCGGAACAAGGAGCAGCAGCTCGTTTAAGTTGATCCATACAGCTGCATAATCGTTGCATGATCCGTGACGATCTCGACGCACCAGCCAGCTGGGACGGTTTGTTATTGTTGATAAGAGGAGAGTTGGTAAAAGCGGTCCCCGAGGGAGGGACGGCTGAACTAACATTGTTGCTAGCCTGGCTGGTTGATATATTCCTGATCGGTGTGCTATCTGCCTTAGTGGCCTTACGGGACTTGGATCTGTTATTCATGGTAGCAGGATAGATGTAGGCAGGTAAAATAGTGAAGACTCTGATGTGGCAGCAGAGAACGTCGGGTGCAGCTTCCTCCAGGGAGCAACACTAGTGAGGTTGAAATGAGATTTTGTGGGTTGGTCTTGATGATAGTTTCAATCACATTTGGGCCACTGAGTACTTAGCTGCCTTCTGGGAAAGCAACATCATTCAAGGGTTGAAGAGAGCTCAGGGACAGCAGATAAAAGTGGAGGAACAGCAGATAAAAGTGGAGCCGACAGGTGCAGTCGAGCATTCCAGTGTGCGTTTCAGGTCGCTCTAATGGTCGTCCAGGCTCTTATGGTGGTCCAAGCTCTCATGGTGTTCCAAGCTCTCATGATGTTCCAAGCTCTCATGGTGTTCCAAGCTCTCATGGTGTTCCAAGCTCTCATGGTGTTCCAAGTTCTAGTGGTCGTCTATGCTCTGATGGTAGCCCAAGCTATCAGGTCGTTCAAGCTCTAGTGATCGTTCAAGCTCTCGTGGTCGTTCAAGCTCTCATGGTCGTCCAAGGTTTCATGGTCGTCCAAGCTCTAGTGGTCGTCCAAGCTCTCATGGTCGCCCAAGCTCTCATGGTCGTCCAAGCTCTCATGGTCGTCCAAGCTCTCATGGTCGTCCAAGCTCTCATGGTCGTCCAAGCTCTCATGGTCGTCCAAGCTCTCATGGTCGTCCAAGCTCTCATGGTCGTCCAAGCTCTCATGGTCGTCCAATCTCTCATGGTCGTCCAATCTCTCATGGTCGTAAAAGCTCTCATGGTCGTCCAAGCTCTCATGGTCGTCCAAGCTCTCATGGTCGCCCAAGCTCTCATGGTCGTCCAAGCTCTCATGGTCGTCCAAGCTCTCATGGTCGTCCAATCTCTCATGGTCGTAAAAGCTCTCAAGGTCGTCCAAGCTCTCATGGTCGTCCAATCTCTCATGGGCGTAAAAGCTCTCATGGTCGTCCAAGCTCTCATGGTCGTCCAAGATCTCATGGTCGCCCAAGCTCTCATGGTCGTCCAAGCTCTCATGGTCGTCCAAGCTCTCATGGTCGTCCAAGCTCTCATGGTCGCCCAAGCTCTCATGGTCGTCCAATCTCTCATGGTCGTAAAAGCTCTCATGGTCGTCCAAGCTCTCATGGTCGTCCAAGCTCTCATGGTCGTCCAAGCTCTCATGGTCGCCCAAGCTCCCATGGTCGTCCAAGCTCTCATGGTCGTCCAAGCTCTCATTGTCGTCCAAGCTCTCACTGTCGTCCAAGCTCTCATTGTCGTCCAATCTCTCATGGTCGTAAAAGCTCTCAAGGTCGCCCAAGCTCCCGTTGTCGGCAAAGCTCTTTTTTTTATTATTATTTTCTACCACAGACGTGGCCAGGCATTTACAATGCTAACCAACATATATACATTTTCTTGTGTCCTCCATGGACAGGGTTAGAGATGTGTTAAACATAGTGTTCAGGGCTTTATTGAACAATCAACCACAGAAGGCGATTCGATGCTTTTAAAATGCTAAACTAACCTACATTCGTAAATACATTGATGCACAGTTTATGTATGTCCTACATAAAGTGTTCGACGTGTCTTTTACATAGTGTCATTAATATGCATTTACAAAGGTGAAATGTAATGCTGATCAGCTTCCATATATATACTTTATACACATACATATATATACACACACACATATACGTGCATATACATATATACATACATACACACACACACATGCATTCACATACATATGTCTTTTTACTCTGACAGAGTGAGATAGATGATAAAGAAACTAGTGTGCAATTAAGCACTTAATCACTGAAGATGTTTAAGGTGCTTTTACAAGCTCAGGTTATATAGTTACCAAGCTCTAGCTAGGTCTAGATATAGCTAAGCCAAGCTCTCGTGGTCGTCCAGACTCTCGTGGTCGTCCAAGCTCTCATTGTCGTCCAATCTCTCATTGTCATCCAAGCACTAGTGGTCGTTCACGTTCTAGTGGTCGTCCAGGCTCTAATAGTCGTCCAAGCTCTCGTGGTCGTTCAAGTTCCCATGGTCGTCCTAGCTCTAATTGGTTGCCCAAGCTCGCATTGTCGTCCAAGCTCTCGAGGTTTTTCCAAGCTCTAGTAGTCGTCCAGGTTCTTATGGCCGTAAAAGTTCTTATGGTCGTCCAAGCTCTCATGGTCGCCCAAGCTCTCGGGATCGTCCAAGATCTCATGGTCGTCCAAGCTCTCATGGTCGTCCAAGCTCTCATGGTCGTCCAAGCTCTCGGGGTCGTCCAAGCTCTCATGGTCGTCCTAGCTCTCATGATCGTCCAAGCTCTCATGGTCGTCCAAGCTCTCATGGTCGTCTAAGCTCTCATGGTCGTCCAAGCTCTCATGGTCGTCCAAGCTCTCATGGTCGTCTAAGCTCTCATGGTCGTCCAAGCTCTCATGGTCGTCCAAGCTCTTGTTGTCGCCCAAGTTCTGATAGTCGTCCAAGCTAACATGGTCTCGTCCTCCCTACCTTCACTCATGTTCTCGTTCATGTGATAATTATTAGTTATTAAATTGGGACTTGGGATGTTTAATTCAAATTATTACTGAATCTGAGTTGAAAATTAATTTGTTTAATATATAATGTGTTGGTTTTAATATCTATATTATAGTTCATTAACGAGGCTTAAGAGAATTAGTTTAGTTACTCCTCGTTGTGATGTAGAGCTGACTGACGTCACAACATAAGTTGCATCAGCCAAGTGATATTATTATTATTTCGTATTTTAATTACCGATGATTAATTCACATAATTACTTAGTTTAAGTATAAGTAATTTTTGATTAGTTTTATAATCTTAGCAGAGGACAACGTCCAGGGAAGCAATGAATCCATCGGGGTGAGTAGATTTGATTAATTCTAGGAAATCTGCTGATGATTGTAGACTATACTTACTTGGAGTGTATGGAGTTAGGAGTTCATTTAGTCTTTTTGCCAGGTGATAGGCTGGAGTTGGTATTTGGCTGATTATAGGGCGTCCTAACTCCATACACTCCAAGTAAGTATAGTCTACAATCATCAGCAGATTTCCTAGAATTAATCAAATCTACTCAGCCCGATGGAATCATTGCTTCCCTGGACGTCGAATACCTATTCACCAACGTCCCAGTCGACACAACCATAGGAATGATACTGGACAGAGTATACAGAGACGAGAGCACCCCCAAATTAGACATATCTGAGGCACACCTTTTTTTTTTTTTTTTTTTTTTGAGATACATACAAGAGTTGTTACATTCTTGTACAGCCACTAGTACCCGTAGCGTTTCGGGCAGGTCCCTGGAATACGATCCCCGCCGCGAAGAATCGTTTTTTCATCCAAGTACACATTTTACTGTTGCGTTAAACAGAGGCTACAGTTAAGGATTTGCGCCCAGTAAATCCTCCCCGGCCAGGATACGAACCCATGACAAAGCGCTCGCGGAACGCCAGGCGAGTGTCTTACCACTACACCACGGAGACTGTAAAAAGTCTTGAAGAGTCTTCTCGAAGCATGTACAAAGGAAGCCCCTTTCATCAGTCCACAAGGAGACATGTATTTACAAATAGACGGAGTAGCAATGGGCTCCCCCTTAGGAGTCTTATTTGTTAATATTTATATGGGAACCATCGAAGACAGAGTCTTCAGCAGCAGACAAAAAACAACTCTATATTGCCGTTATGTAGATGACATATTCGTAATAGTAAAAGACTCAGATGAATTAATTGATCTAAAAAGCCATCTAGAGAGAGAGTCAGTACTCCGATTTACACATGAAAATAGTGAAAATAACAGTCTGCCATTCTTGGATGTACTAATAACAAAAACAGGAACCTCTTTAAGCACCAACGTATATACCAAGCCCACCAACATAGTATTATGCCTGAACGGTAGAAGTGAGTGCCCCCAAAGATACAAAGCCAGTGTTCTCAATGCTTATATTCGTCGAGCGCTTACCCACTGCTCTGAATGGAGCAACGTGAGTAGAGAGTTTGAAAGAGTAACTCAGGTATTGGTGAACAACAGATATAGCAACGCGGAAATAAACGCTGCTATAAGAAGACACTTGGACCGTTGGTATAATTCAGAACCTAGAACAGAAACCACAACACCCCCAATAAAATTATATTACAAATCAACCATGCACAGTGAACATATAAAAGAGGAAAGAATAATGAAAGAAATATTCCGTAAAGGAGTAAAAAGCATTACTCCTAACCAAAACATAAACCTGATAATATTCTACAAAACCAAGAAGACTTCCGAACTCCTTATCAAAAACAGCCCGAAGCCGACGGAGAACCCTCTACAGCAGTCAAGCGTTGTACACATGTACACTTGCCTCCACGAAGGATGTAACCTTCAATGTAAGTACATAGGTATGACGTCGACCAAGCTGACGAGGCGTTTGACATGCCATCTTCAATCTGGTGCCCCCAGGAATCACATGAGACAAGCCCATGACATTACTCTAACAAGAGAAATGTTGAACAAAAATACCTGTATAATAGACAAAACCCGAGATGTAAGAAGATTACAAATTCTTGAAGCAATTCACATAAGAATAGAACAACCTACCTTGAACACCTAAATCACGGAACTATTTACTCTACCCACCATGAGAGTAAGGACAAGACCAGAACATAACGATGCCAACACAGAAGACACTGTTCAACATAACAGGCCAATTACACCTAATTAATCTTTGTATGTAGTTAGCAGCTGCCTCGTATGGGCCAATAGGCCTTCCACAGTTACCTCTATTCTTATGTTCTAATGTTTCACCCCCCCCCCCTTTATCCATTATGTATCCCCCCATATTTTCACCTTTATTGTCTTATCACCTGACCCAGTGCGGGTATAAAATCAACCAAACCGGAAAATTCTTTTCACTTGAGAATGAACCATGGAGGTTCGAAACGTTGTGCAAATTGTATAAATAAGTGTAATACATTCTATAGTAATTCACTTCTTTTCTTCACCTTGAAATTACGAAAATGAGTTTTGGAGAACTCCTATTTCAGCTAAGCCCTGATGCTAAAAAATAGTTAGAGGGATAGAAGCCCTAAATCAGAAGATAGTAAATACAGAATATGCGGTCATATTCAATGAGACATATATATATATATATATATATATATATATATATATATATATATATATATATATATATATATATATATATATATATATATATATATATATATATATACATATATTAGTACATTTTGGTAGCAGTTTCTCTTGTAAACATATATTATTAAATATGACCGAAAAAGTAAGATTAGTAATTCTAACACGAATTTTCTCAATATTTCTTATGTTTCTTTTCACTGTCGATGGTAATTGAAAAATCAATTTTCCAGAATTAATTTTTATTTCTAGTCTGACGTGACACTTGAACGCGTTTTGTAATAACTTATTTCATTTTCAAAGACTTTAGTTTACACACACAACTATAACCTGCAAACATTAAACAGAGTTCTACTATGCTATCATTTAAACAGCTTTCATCTTATATACCCGCATTTGGGTGAGGTGATATGTTACAACAGTTTTGGATGAGGTGAACAAAACTTTCAACACAAGATAGAGCAAACTTTCAACACAAGACAGAACACGGTGCAATGGGTATAAGTTGAGTAAATTAACGGGAAGAATGAAAGGAACTGCAAAGGGCCTATTGGCCCATATTTCTTGATGCTTCTATATTGGTGCGGAGTCTTGAAGTGGGTAGAATATAGTTGTGCATTAATTGGCTGTTGATTGCTGGTGTCGACTTCTTGATGTGTACACATAGTGTACACATCAAGAAGTCCTGTACATCAGATGCATTGCTTCTAGCAATATGGGTTCGAGTCACTTCTGGGGTGTGAGTTTTCAGTTGCATATATGCCTGGAGACCGTTCAGGCTTGTTTGCATATATATATATATATATATATATATATATATATATATATATATATATATATATATATATATATAATAGTGGTATATGTTAATATAATACGGGAAATGTAATTTTAGGTACAACACTACTCATATTGTTAAAAGTCCCATCCTAATAAGGGTCTGCTCAGTAATTGAACTGTTTGCTAAGTTATTCACTATTTAATACAACTCTAGGCAATGGAAATGTATTCGACCCTAATGCAGGTTGGCACTAGCTACTAGTATATATAATTGTTGAACAGGAAAACTTACAATATATTTTTATTGTTTTTTTTATTATTTAAGTTAAATCATTTTCTTCTTTAGAGAAAATACAGATTCAGATAATGCTGGTAGCCTCTCATCAACCTCTGGTGATATTTGATAGTGTTTTTTTTAATTTATTAGCCATATAAGCCTTTGTGATTCTTGTGAGAGGTGTACGCCATCTGGAAATAAATTCCTACGGAATGGTGAGGCTGTAAATGGGATGTAACGTGCACCCATACGAACTTGCCTTTTTAGACAATAATTTATATTATTAGCAGTATGTATGTGTGCAACTCTACACTTGCCCCTTTGACGGCTATTTTCCGCGGGCTGTCCGAGTTCAGTTACAGTAAACATGACTGTGGAATTATTTTCTTTAAAGGTGCTGATTATTCTCCTGAGATCATTTATGATCTCTGTTGGTACACGTGAGGGATGTTTGTCATTACCTCCCAGATAGATAACTGTTAAGTTATGAGACCAGTTAAGAGCCTGTCTTAACAATACAGGTGAGGGAAAAATGTGATGATTGTTAAGGTCTTTAAAGGAAAGATGTGGTCTTGAAGGGAAAGATATGGTAACTATTGAGGTCTTTAAGAAAACAAATGGTATGTAAAGTTTTCGTCATGTATTGTGAAGCTTGACTTGACTTTCCAGTGTGATGGGACGACTGCGCGTAGTGGGGTGGTGCAGGGAACCCTGCCGACGACCGCTGCTGGTCGTGCTGGGGGTCGTGCTGGGGGTCGTCGTCCTCTGCATTCTCCGGCACCACCCAATTTTCTGTTCCGGTCAGATGTCTTTCTATTTGGTCAATTATTTACTTCCCCTTTCTACAGTTTTTTGAACAACATTCCATACTTGTAATTGGTTGTTTACATGACTTCTGTTTCACTACTCACACGTGTCACTAGGACACAGTTACTCACACGTGTCACTAAGACACAGTTACTCACACGTGTCACTAAGACACAGTTACTCACACGTGTCCTAAGACACAGTTACTCACACGTGTCACTAAGACACAGTTACTCACACGTGTCACTAAGACACAGTTACTCACACGTGTCACTAAGACACAGTTACTCACACGTGTCACTAAGACACAGTTACTCACACGTGTCACTAAGACAGAGTTACTCACACGTGTCACTAAGACACAGTTACTCACACGTGTCACTAAGACACAGTTACTCACACGTGTCACTAAGACACAGTTACTCACACGTGTCACTAAGACACAGTTACTCACACGTGTCACTAAGACACAATTACTCACACGTGTCACTAAGACACAGTTACTCACACGTGTCACTAAGACACAGTTACTCACACGTGTCACTAAGACACAGTTACTCACACGTGTCACTAACACACAGTTACTCACACGTGTCACTAAGACACAGTTACTCACACGTGTCACTAAGACACAGTTACTCACACGTGTCACTAAGACACAGTTACTCACACGTGTCACTAAGACACAGTTACTCACTCGTGTCATAAGACACAGTTACTCACACGTGTCCTAAGACACAGTTACTCACACGTGTCCTAAGACACAGTTACTCACGTGTCACTAAGACACAGTTACACACACGTGTCAGTAAGACACAGTTACACACACGTGTCACTAAGACACAGTTACACACACGTGTCACTAAGACACAGATACTCACACGTGTCACTAAGACACAGTTATATACTCACACGTGTCACTAAGACACAGTTATATACTCACACGTGTCACTAAGACACAGTTATATACTCACACGTGTCCAGGTGATCCGACGGTACTGTCCCTCACCTGAACCGGGTGATCCGACGGTGATCCAGATGGAAAGGAACAGGCGCGTTCATCATGCAGAATATAGTAAGGAGACAAACATAGGGATGTGCCTTAACGCTGACAGCGACTGCCCGGAGAAATACAAACGGAGTGTTGTGGACGCTTACGTCGACCAAGCTCTCATTCACAGCTCTGGGTGGAAGCAGGTGGATGAGGAGTTATGTAGAATAAGGCAGATTTTGGTCAACAATGGTTTCTCCAATGCATATGAGGAAGACATCATATAAAGGAATGTGGCGTGGCTTGCAACAGGCGACGGAATAACCAATACCACAAAATCCGTACTTCCAATAAAATTGTTCTACAGAAACTCCTCCTCCATGACCTACAACGCGGAGGAAAGAGCGCTAAGAGAGAACATTGAGAAGAACGTTACCCCAATTGACGTCAACCATAAGATAAAACAAACTATATTAAAGGAGTAAGAAAACCGCAAACTTTCTAATGGAGAACTCCCGACACCAAGAAAAATGCATTGAAAGAGACCAAAATTGTCTACACCTTCACGTGCCCACTTGGGGATTGTCAGCCCCCCAACGCTCTCAGTAAATAGGTAAGACAACAAAGTCCCTCTCTAGGTGATTAACAATGTACAAACAACAGGGCTCCATCAAGGACCATATATACACTACACACAACGAGACGATCACTCAGGGATAATTTGACGAGCAACACCGAAATAATTGATAGATACAATGACAATAGCAGATTAGACATCAGTGAGTCGCTGCATATCAAGAAATCTAGACCAGCCATCAATAATCAGCTAATACACAATAACACTCTACCCACTTCAAGACCCCGGGCCAGCACATTAGCAGGACCAAATGACCCCGTCACAGGAACGGAAGCAACCAGAAGAACACAACCTGCCAACATATCACACTCTGTTGATACATTTAATACCTTACAAATATGCCCCTTTTAATGCCATTCATCTATATGTTACCTAACCACCTTACCATAAGAGGATATAACCCGATGCTAAGCACGGCACACTGCGACCCGTTGAGGGTGTGGACACAATGCGAACCAAACGTCTGAAGGTTGGAGCCTCTTTGACGGTCATGCTATCGGGAAAAGCGATATTCTGAAGGTCCTGAAGGACGTGGCTGGCATCACACTCACTGACATTAGTCAGGAAGGTGATGGTATCGTGCTATTCTTTTTCTGTGAGGAAGTACTAGAAAAACTCTTGAGCAACGATGCCATTCTTTGCAAGGAGCACCACCTACATCCTCTCTTTCCCATGTCAGTTCCTGGCCGGAAGAACTGCTTTTACCAGCAGGACCAGCCAGGGGATCGCTGACCGACCGCAACATAAGATCATGGACAATATCGAGGACGAAAATCTGAACGTGGGTATATTCAACCTAGAGTTCTGCAGCACCAACAAACCATCAATGAAGATTACTTTCACCACCATAGCTGCGGCCACCCAGACTGCCACACAAGGTTTCTACTGCTGCTTACAGCAGTGCTTCAAGTGCTACGAGCTCTCCCACCCCATCAACATGTGTCAGCACCCCGTCTAGAAGTGCAGCCTGTGCACACTGGACCATCACTACTCCATATGTAAGGCAACGACCCATTGCTGCTTGCTCTGCGGTGGCAATCACCCCACAATTTCCTACCGCTGACCCCACAGACAGGAAAACATCAAGGCCCAGGTTGAAGCCAAGAAAAACAAACCTTCTACCTCCGCAACTAGAGCCCCAGGTGTTCAACCCACCACCTCAACAAATCTCTTGAAACCTTGCAAAATGAAGCTATGCGTCTCATCCTTGGGGCTCCAAAGTCCACGAGAATAGTTAACATGAGAGCAGAGTTAAAATTACCTAACATATGTAAGAGAATTTTGTCTATTAACACAGTTTTCGGCGCGAAAGGCATTGAGTAGATTTCGGCAACACAGGAAGTTTCAAGCTAAACTTTCTAATATGCTGCACTCACCTGAGGTCTACAGAAGAAGAGCGAAATCTGATGATGCATTTTGGTTCTACAAGGAAGCCTACTTCATCAAAATATTAAATATGTACCCAACTCAATTAATGATTAATCAACCAATTACTCCATGGGATAACTGGGATCTATCAGTTGATTTTGTAAATGCACCCAAGAAAGATAGTGTGCACACTACATTATTAAAACAGTTAACACTGTACAGCATCACTGAGAGTACTCAGAGTATGGGTAACGATGTGCATCAGTGCTATACCGACGGCTCTGAAGAAGAAGGTGGACGATGTACCGGATGTGCATGTAATATATTTGAAGAACCTTCTCTCATTCATACAGCAATGAAGCGCATCAGTGATTGGGCAAGTACAACTCAAATCAAACTTGTAGGGATATACCTTGCCACTGAATTTTTAAAAGACAAAAGCTGTAGACTTATATACTGTGACTCGCAGAGTGCACTCCTGGCATTGGACGCACACAGTAGTGACACCCTGAAAATAGTCAGTGATATTCGAATGAATGTTTTAGCTGCTAAAGAAAACATATTTGAAATTATATTATGTGTGTATGTCAAATGTATGTGTGTGAAAATTTGTATGTGTGTGTGTATATATATATATATATATATATGTCGTACCTAGTAGCCAGAACGCACTTCTCAGCCTACTATGCAAGGCCCGATTTGCCTAATAAGCCAAGTTTTCATGAATTAATGTTTTTTCGACTACATAACCTACCTAACCTAACCTAACTTTTTCGGCTACCAGACCTAACCTAAACTATAAAGATAGGTTAGGTTAGGTTAGGTAGGGTTGGTTAGGTTCGGTCATATATCTACGTTAATTTTAACTCCAATGACAAAAAATTGAGCACATACATAATGAAATGGGTAGCTTTATCATTTCATAAGAAAAAAATTAGAGAAAATATATTAATTCAGAAAAACTTGGCTTATTAGGCAAATCGGCCCTTGCATAGTAGGCTGAGAAGTGTGTTCTGGCTACTAGGTACGACATATATATATATATATATATATATATATATATATATATATATATATATATATATATATATATATATATATATATATATATATATATATATATATAACTGAAAACTCACACCCCAGAAGTGACTCGAACCCATACTGCCAGGAGCAACGCAACTGGTATGTACAGGGACGCCTTAATCCGCTTGACCATCACGACCGGACAAAAGGAAGTGATAGCCGAAGCTATTTGAACCACTTCCGCGGATGGTAATCTTGGGCATAGCATTTTATCAAATCACCTCATTCTTTGGGGCACACGTGAGGAACACGCTGGAACAAGCTGGAAGTTTCGTCTGTGGTAAGGTAATGGGAAGACACACAAAACACAAGTAAATTTAACAATGAAATTTTAATTACGTTAGAAAAGCAAAACATGAATAAAATTGGGCATAAAAATGTAACATAAATCAATCAAACAAAATAATAAGAATAATCACTGGCAAATGAAAAGTTATGTTAATACAAGTGAATAATAGCAAAGTAAATATATTAGTGCAGGAATATTGGCTTCAAGCTGCCACCTCCCTTAGTACTCGTAAGCCAAGGCTTAGTCTACCAATGAGACGTGTTAACTTGTGTGGAGCACGATATATTCTGCCTTCTCTAGGTCGCGGTGGCCCAGACATCAGCTCGTGTGGCGGGTGGTGGAGCAGGTGTGATGGGCACCAGCCAATCAGCGACAGGCAGGCGATGGACAAGTAGTTTGCCGGTTCACGGTGGCGGAGGCGAGCAGGTGTGCCGGTGTTGGATACGTTTTGCACTCTGGGCAAAACTTGTTGTTGTACTTGTTGGATATATCTTCTATATTATTTGTTACAGGGACGTAGTTTGGAGGGAAGAGCAGGCTCAATCTCTCTTGAAAGAGATTATCGTCACAACTCTCCCCCGAAGCCTGCGGTTCTGGAAGAAGTACGTCGTTATGTGGTGGA